TTTTTTTTTTTTTCTGTTCTTTTCTGGATGGGACATTGATGTATTGGGTATAAGCCAGAAGCATGTGATATTCTCAGTTCTCAGTTAATACCTAATAGTTTAGTATCCGAGCAGATTTCATTTGGCAAATGACATTGATGAAAGTAGCAATCACAATGTACACTTCATATTTTAATATTTCCATTGAATTTTTTTATATTTTTGTACGTTTATGGCTATAATTTGATTATATTTTACATAAAAATATATATTAATAAAATGAATATTATTTTTTATATAGTTCATTTATCTAAGTAAAACAATAAAAATCTGATATCAAATTGACATAATTGAGTTTTTAAATGTAAAATATTGACAGTTGAATTGAAATTTAAATTCTCGATATGAAAATTTTAGTTTGGTCGAGGTCGTTCGATGTTGTGAAATTAATAGTCACTAAAGTGCACTCTAATAACCACAAATGTGCAATTTGTATAACCCTAAAGTGCACTTGTCATACATACAAATATATAGAAATAATAATAATATTTCTCATATAAGTCCGTCGTTTCGGTCATATTGTTCGGCATGTTCGGTTATTTTGTTTATTTAAAAAAAAAACGTATTGATGTATAAGGTGCAACACGTCGTGTTATAAGGTGCAACGTATTGATATATAAAGTGCAGCATATTGATATATAGTGCAATACTAAAATTTTGGTACGTTAGCATGTTTCTGTTTTTTGTGGATAAATGATGTGATGGATATCAAAATATTATGTAGATTCGTTTTTTTATATTTATATCGCGTAATTTTTTTGTGGGAGCTGTTAATATTAAGTGTGGAGTGTGGTAATAAGGTGCAACGTGCTGTTTTATAAGGTGCAATGTGTTATTTTATAAAGTGCATCAAAATATTTTATAAAGTGCGACATTCTCCTATATAAAGTGCACTAGCTAAATTAAAATTTCACAATATTATGTGTGTAATTGTATATCGAAATAACCTAAATAACTAATATAGCTTTTTATTTATAATTACAAAATATTTTTATATTAATTTAATATCTTATATTATTTTTTTTAATAATATTTTTTATTATTTCAAAATATTTTTATATTACTTTAATATCTTATAGTATTTTTATTTAATAATATATTTATTATTTAATATATATGTACAACAAAATATTCAAATGCTTTGTACAAGTCTTGTTCCATTTCTATCCCCGTCAGCCTGAATATATTTAAGAAAAAAAAAATCTAAGCATGAAAAAGAAATGGCTACGCATACAGAGAATGAATAAGGTAGAAAGTGTATAAAAAATATATATATTAAATTTCAATAATTACAGATTTAACCTATGGGTTAAATTGAAATATAATTAAAATTGTTAAAATTGCACATAGGTCCCTAAACATAATCTAATTCTCAAAAAGAAGCCCAACTCCCACATTCCAGATTCAATTTTTCAAATCGCCGCATCACCTCCTCTCACACCGGCGATGGCGAGGTTCGAGCTCCTGGGGCAGCGGAGCGTCCGGTGATGGCGTCGTTAGGAGATCTCAACCTACCTCTACTCCCAACGACTGGCGGATGGAGGTCGCCGGAGATGATTAGCTGCAGCGACAGAGGTCTTTATTGAGAAGAATCGAAGGTTGGCCGCCGTTGGAAGGTCGCCGGAGACGAAGTGAGATGGCCGGAAAAAGCGGAGGAGGAGATTCACAGTAGACGCGGCGACGGCTAAGCCGTGGCGCGGCGGAGACGACGGTGATTATGAGGGCCAACAGTGTGTGCTGTGTGTGTGCGTGCGACCGCCGGCGGCTGCAGAGTGTGATTGTGTTTCTCGCCGGCGAACATATGTGTGCCTGTGTGTGTGTGTTTGACGGGGTGGTGGGTTGTGTGTGCGAGATGTGTGTGTGAGAGAGAGAAGAGAGAGAGATAGAGATTTAATGAGAGATAGAGAGATTTAATGATAGATAGTGGTGTGGGTGTTACGTGGTAGTTGGGTTGTGATGGGTCCCACTATTTTTTTATTGTTGTCAATTACCACATTGGCCTTAATGAAGGTATAATTTTGGTTTTTTTTAGCCATTAGATCATCCGATCTAATGGATACAATTTATTCTTATTTCTCGCATTAAGCACCATTCTCATGTGAACGTGACCCTATAACATATAGTACATATACTATAATACATATATTCATATTTATATAAATTATAATATATATGTATATACTATATATTAAAAATCTTAATATTGAAGGATAAGAATAAAATTTGCACAAAAATTAACGCGATAGCCTAGTGGCCTAATGGTAAGGAGGTGTGCCCAGAGATAACGGACTCACCCACCTGGGTTCGAGTCTCGAATTTGGGGTCCTCCTACCATTTTTTCCTAATATTCGTAAAACGTATTTTGAGAATACGTTTTACATTAAAAATTAATTATTTGTAAAACGTATTATGAGAATACGGTTTACAAATATATATCATATATATATTTTTTATGTAAATAAAAAAATATAAAGGCTAAACCGTATTCAGCAAATACGGTTTACAATTAAATCTTATAGAAACCGTATTTGCTGAATACGTTTTCTGTAAGATATAACAAAAAAAAAAAA